TTAGGGTTTTAGGGTTTAGGGATAACTGTATAGGTTGTAAGAAGGTTGTACAAGGAAATGCGCGGGCATCGTGCTGATGATTTGCAGGAATATTCCTTAATGTAATTGGTTTCGGAATGTCAATGCGGGGGGCGGAGGGCTTTGGGGGTTTTTGGGGTTTAGAGGCTTTGGAGGAGGATGTTTGCGCCGGGGGTGTTGGGGTACAGGTTTAGGGGTCTCGAAGGTTGAGGTCGTAGACTGGGTTCAGTTCAAAAGCATGAGAGTGGGTCAAGTGAAAGTGTGGTGGCTTCGTGACGATTTCGTCTGTGCACGGGAGGAGTTTTGTTGTCGAGAATCAGGGGAGATGTCAGAGTGGTTTACAAACGCTGGCCGGATGCAAGCTTTTCTTGATAGGGGGGCACACGGAATGCGACGGTAGCAGGAGAACTGCGGCACAAATCACCAGTGTAGTTTGGACCGAAGAGTATGGAGTGCACAACAATAGTAGCATTACTAGCCATCGCAGGACCCGGAGCAGTGATGGGTGTGGTTGTGGTCGTTGTGGTTGTTGTTCTTGGCCCGTGCTCGGTGTTTCGGGGCTTCGGCACTTTCCCCTCCGTGTCTAAAACGTATACCTAAACCTTAAGCTCTGAAGCCTCGAACCCTAAATCCTAAAACCCAACCCTTAATCCCGAAACTCTTAACCGCTAAAACACACTCTAATGGGTGTAGCGTGGCCCGAACAATTACCATCAGTATTCCCTCGGGTTCGTGATCAAACGTATACTATCATAAGCCCCACAAGCCCCATTCCAACTGTTGAGCCCGCAACCCCAAATCCTAACTTGCAAACTCTTGAACCCCCCAAAACCCTACAACCCTAAACCTACAACCCTAAACCCTAAGCCCTGGGCCCTAAACCCTATCCCTTCATTGAGCGCTTTGGAAGCACGTGTCTTCGGAGGCCAAGCCGGTCCAGCCTTGCTGGAACTCCTCTGGTCCTTCTTTGGCGAGGAGGGGAGACGGATCTTAGGGTTTAGGATTCATTAGGGTTTTGGGTTTAGAGTTTTAAGGATTTCGGAGGGCATTTACAAAGGTGTACGGGGGGTCTCAGACCAGATTGATACTGTAAGGGTTCCACTTCACGGTTTCAGGAGGTCTTTTGGATTCATCAGTTGTAGCCTGATATACTTGTGTTCCTCCACCCAGAGAGCTCAACAGGCTTGAAGTAAGCAATGTTCCGGAAATTACGGCATGCAGTGCTCTATGAATTCTAAACCCACCCCCGAACCTAAACCCTAAAAGTAGGCATGCTCGTCATCTAGGGAGTCATGGGCTCTGTGGGTACTGGACTTAGCCTCAAAGTAGCTCACCTTGGGGGCGACGTCCCCTGATGCTGCCCCATGGACCTCCATCGAAGTCCCTACGGAACCCTTGCCCCCATGATCGCATGGAATCCTCGTGGGCCCTTTAGCTCGATAAGGCCCTTACAATACAAAAACAAAACCCTCTGGGTCGCTGATGACTCCTATCATCTATAAAGCGCTTTTTGAACTCTTCTGAAACCTTTCTCAAACCGCTATGGGAACGCCTTTTTGTGGGCAGGAGCAGCAGAAGGGCAACTTCCCCTTCGAGCCAGTGTTTCTGAGCGTGCGGGTGAGGCGGGGGCCCTTACAGTACAAACCGAATACAAGGGCCTTGGCAAGCAGAATAGGGCCTAGGGTTCCTTTGGGGGCTTTAAAAGTGCGAAAAGGTTAGGCAGCAAGCAATGCTGCCCCAACGCATTGTTTTACGCACAGCGCACAGCACGACATCTGAAAGTGACGAAAGTCCTTGAAACAGTACCTGAATAGATGCTGTGCTATGTCATTTCTAAACTAAACCAAGAATGTGTGGAGCTCTGGCACCTGAGTCCTTCAAACAACGCGACCTGCGTACCACTCCAAAAGTCCTTAAGCGGCATGCTCTGCGGCCCACATGAAGCTTGCATCACACAGTCGAAAAGGATTATTACAAGGATTCTTAATACTGCAACTAGAATGGATTTTATGGGTGTATATTATAAGATAGCTAGGCAGTGATGTGAGGGCGATACCATACGGTTCATGTAGACCTCTCTACTAAGTTTCAGGGAACCTTGGCAACCGGAAACTGCAGCCTGCCAGGGCCGTCCCCACGATCTATGCGGCCACCTACGAGGAGCTTCCCATGATGAGTAGTATTCGGTTTGGGGTTTTAGGGCAAATAGTCAGGGATCCTAGTTTCCAGCTATCGTGTGAGTATGGCAGTGGGGCAATTGCGGCTGAGGTTGAAGCCGGGGCTTTCTACGGTTATGCTTGCTTAAGAAGAAGAATGATAATGATAATAATGAATAAAAACAATAATGAATAATAACAATATTATCAATAAAGCTCTCTCTGCGGTCCTTGTGTAGCTGCAGCACGCTTGGGGGTGCTCCAGGAGATGTCCCAGTTCTATGCGTGCGTCTTTTGGCCACTTGATCTCTCCTAGTCTTGTGGTCTTCCATGGTCCAGACTGCAGGGCCTATGGTTTAGGGCATCCTGTTTCATGACTTGTGTCTGCAAAGGCCATGGGATGTGATGATGATGCTCTTCAGCGAGCTGTACACCATGCTCGTGCCCTTGTTTCTGCCCGATCGCCATTGGATTGCGCGGCTCCCAGTCTCAGAGGCACGTGAGGAAGGGTTTAGAGTCTCCTTTGCACTCCGTCAAACCCTAAACCCTAAACTCCTAAACCCTAGACCCAGGTCAGCACTATGTTGTGGTCACTCAGATACTCTGACCAGAATTGGTGGCACATTCGTGCTCGCAATGTGAAGACTCCTGTTGGCAAGAAGCTGCTTCATCTCCACGGCTCTTCAGCCTCATGAATGCGTGCCGATACTTCTTGGGGGTCTCTTAAAGAGCATGGCACCCTACCTGCCCTAAACCCTAAACCCTAAACCCTAAACCCTACACCCTCTCAAAGGGATCCGAACTTGCGGAGCTACCTCTCTCAATCTATGAAAGTCTCTTGTCAGTGAGGGCCCACCTGCCATCTGCCGGGCTGGCGCCGTTTCCGATCCCCTACGACCCCTGGATTGGAACCGACCAGTTCGATGGACGGGAGCAGGCCATCAGGTTCCGGGTGTAGGGTTTGGGTTTTCGCCAGGTTTTGTAGGGTGAGAACTGAACCAAAAGCTCCGAAGCAAGGCCGGCGAAGGAATCGCGGAGCCTCAGCATTCCCAAACCAGGAGAGCCTTTTGAGACACATTCTCTAAGTTTCCTGGACCATTACCCTGAACCCCAAACCCTAAACCCCACACCCAAACCCCTAAACCCAAACCCTGAAGCCTAAATCGTCGCAGCAAGCTCCTAAAGGCGGCCTATTGGCTATCCCTCACGGAGTTCGAGCAGTCGGAAGCTCAGTGTTTCAGGGATTTGGCAGGCTTAAGGTGTATGTGTGTGTGTGTGGGGTTTTGTCAGAGGTTTTTTGTTGCGAGTTTAGGCCTTGTAGGGTTTAGGGAATTGGGGGTTTAGAATTTTGCCGTGGAGTGGCGCGTGGAATGAGGAAGGTGGAGGTGCGGGGAAAGCGCAAAGGTCAGCAAGATTCAACTTTTTGCTTGGACCCCTTCCACATCGACTGGGGGGAGCATCGCCAAGCCTACACTTCCAACCCTAAGCCCTAACCCTAAAACCCTCAAGCCTAAACCCTAAACCTTGTAAGCGTGACCCAAGGCAGTGGTTTAGGGTCCAGGTCTAGGGAGTAACCCTCACCCCAGAACCCCACATTCCCCCAAAGCCCCAAACTCCTAAAGCCGCAAAGCCCTCAAGCGCTCAGCCGAGGTATCCCAGCCTTGGCCATTTCCGCAGTGTCCCGGATCTCTTGGCGCAGCTGCGGCAGTGACTGGGCTCTGGTAAAGGAACTTCTTCGTGACGCTGCCGGAGTGGAGAAGTCCTACTATTCACAGTTTGGACCTGCAGTAACTCCAGAACCCCGATCCGAAATTGCAAATCCGCAGCCCCGTAAAGAACATATATAAAACCCTGAACCCTGAACCCTAACCCCTAAGCCCTAAATCAGATGCTGTCGTGATGGTGGCAGATTAAAAGAATAGGACCCTCAGAGCAGCTCAGCGGGACCCAGGTTTGATCCGGAGGAGGCCAAGCGCGGCATGAGAGCCTTCAACGAGGCCCCCGAGTTCTTCCTGACTTTTTTGGGGGGGATTTAGGATACAAACCCTGAAACCCTAAACCCTAAACCCCTGAACCCTAAACCCTAAATCCCTGAACCCTAAACCCTAAACCCAAGACCAAAAAACCCGGTGTCTTTGGGGGGTTCTTGATCCTCGGGCTCTGCTTGGGTGCCAGACGCCGGCGAATCTCATTTCGCATGAGGTCCTGTTATGAATCTATTCGGGGGCGATTCTCAGGGGTTCGGGGTTTAGGGTTTAGGGTTTAGGGCGATTCCACCAAAGGCAGCGTAGACTTTGGGGGCTTTCAAAGATGCACTGCGAAGCTCGAAGCTCCGTCTCAGCGGGTCGCTCAAGATATGAAGCGAAAGCCTGAAGCCTCAACCCCAAGCCCAAAACCCAACGCCAAGCAGGAGGAGCAGAGCCTGCAACAAGCACCATGGAGCCTTAAGTTCAAAGCCTCACACTCTAAGATTTTGCACTTGCCTCAAACCATGCAGCTTTAAGCCCAAAGCTTCAAAACCCAAGCCTGGTAGATCCCGCAGAAACCGGCTTCGGCTTGAACTTAGTGCAGAGGCCACACTGCGGAGTTCGCTGGACTTCTACCGCTGGGCCGCGGCATGTTTGCAACCTTGCCGCACGAACCCAGACTAACGGTTTAGGGTTTAGGGTTTCCTCCTCCGGCTGGTCTGTACCCACTAAAGTCTAAAGACGAGTCAGTATTGTGAGAAATGCTTTCAGCCCTAAGCCCTGAACCCTTCCCGGAGTCCAGAGTCGAGGGGGTATAAGCTTTCAAATAAAGGTTTAGGGTTTAGGGTTTAAAGGGTTTAGGGTTTGGGAGTTTAGGGTTTAGGGGTTTAGGGGTTTTAGGGGTTTAGGGGTTTGGGGTTTCGGGGTTTAGGGGGCCTCTCCGCCGACAGTTGCCGAGGTTGGGGAATTCCATGCTGCCGTGGCTGTGAGCCGACAGAAGACCTGCACTGCCTGGACCGGGACTGCCAGGTCGGGTCCTGGTTAGAGTGAGACAAGTTCTGTAGTATATGTATATATATGTATATATATAATATGTATGTATATATATATAATGTGTATATATATAATGTGTATATATATATATTTTTTTCTTCTACTACTCACTGTGCTAGACGGTCTTATACTCCATTGTACTCGAACATATTAGAAAGACGGTTCACCAGAAACAGAACTCGCAGCCCTGAGGAGCCAGTATGCCAGCGGGTTCACGATGCGCGAGGTATCCGAACGAGGCGGATCCGGGACACGGATGCTCTGCAAGGGTAGCTTTGAAGGCGTGTTTGGAAGCGATCATGGCAGCCATCTTTGGCACACAAGTGGTTGGAGGCATGAAATGGCATTGCAAGCATATCCCTAACACAGAGTTTTCTTAATGAGGAACAGCAATGCTTGTTCAAAGATAAACGTTGTATGGCAGACTCATGCTTTAGTAGTGCACTGTGCTGCGTTAACATGTGGGCGGACAGCTTCGGTGATGACGTACGGCTACAAATCTTGGAGCATTTATGGCCAAAGGAATGGCGGGGTGCTCAGTTGCGATCTGTGGCCTCGTTGGTACCCTTGACAGCCATTTTCTGCTTGTGACAGCCACCCATAGCACCCCCGCATTGTGTTTTTTGGTTTGAGGCTCTTGACATGCGCTAAACTCTGCCAAACCGCGAGATGCTTCCTTTCGCGGCAAGATGTGCGAGAGAGCCTGGTCACCTCACTCCCGGAGGATGCTTTTGCCCTCACCTCACCTCTGTGGCGCCTCTTGAGGAGCGCCATCGTGCCCGACTCAGCTCTCCGTTTCTGGTTTCATGCTGTGCTTTGCCATGGGCTGTAGATGATGGATCTGTTTTGGCACTCCAAGGCAGCTGGCAGCCCCTGCAGTACCGCCATGTTGAAGCCGGCCTTTACGGTGATGGGAAGGCCAGCTGCTCGCGCAACGAACTGTCGAGGTGGACGGTCCCGGCTGCTCGGGCGGTGCTTCACGGTCTCTGCCCAAACCGGAAACGCGTCCGTGGTCACCCTGGCGCTGCAGTGCCGGGCGGACATTGAGCAGAGGATCAACGGCCAGAGCGCCCTGGACTCGGCATCGCAGGCCGGGCAGGTGCAAATCGCGGAGGTTTTGTTGCAAGCTCGCGCGGCAGCGACTCAGACGGCGCAGGGCCGATGGACTCCGCTGATGCGTGCTGCGCAGGACTGCGCTTGCAGAGCTCTGTCCGTAGACTATATATAAGGGGTCGGAATCATTAGTAAGTAAGCATAGTCTACCCCAAAGCCCGCCTTTAAGAAAACATGTCTGAGTCTAAGATCCTGTGCCACTTTGCAGGGGGGACATCTCAAAGTTTGCGAGCTGCTCTTAGCTTCCGGAGTCGACCCGGATGAGTGGGCCGAGCGGAGCACTGCCTTGGATGTGGCGGTGTCCCTGTCGCACCTGGAGGCCCGAAATGCTAAAGGAGTTCTAAAAAGGGATCAACATCGGCTCTATGAGGGTGCTGTTGTGGGGATGCTGTAAGGCCTCGAAACCGAGAGGCTTGCTTTCTCTTGAACCCTGAACCCCAAACTCTGTACTCTTGACCCAAGAGCCCTAAACCCCTAAACCCCTAAACCCCTAAACCCCTAAACCCTAAACCCTAAACCCTAAACCCTAAACCCCTAAACCCCTCAACCCCTAAAGAGCCCTAAGCCGGGAGGTGGTGAAAGCTCTGGAGGCGAAGCGTGCTCGGAGGTACCAGGAGCTGCCGGAGGCGAAGAGGAGGGTCGCTGCTTCAACGAGCTTCTGGGCTCTTGCTAAGGGATCTTAACTTAAGTTACCATACTAGAGATGTATGGTACATAATAGGGTTTCCTTATGATAGTAACCCTAAACTAGGCCCTAAACCCGAAACCCTTAAATTAGATCCCTAAACCCTAAACCCTTAAATTAGATCCCTGAACCCTAAACCCGAAACCCTGAAATTCGATCCCTAAACCCTAAACCCTAAACCCGAAACCCTTAAACCAGATCCCTAAACCCCAAACCCTAGACCCGAAACCCTTAAACTAGATCTCTAAACCCTAAACCCTACCTTAAACCCCAAACCCTAACCCCGAAACCCTTAAACTAGATCCTTAAACCCTAACCCCGAAACCCTTAAACTAGATCCTTAAACCCTAAACCCAGGCTTCCGGGTGGCCCTGGAGAGCTGCCCGCGGCCTTCCAGGAGATCCGGGCGGGGCGTCGCTGCCACAGACTCCGAAGCGGGCAGAGCATGGTAAACACGTAGGCAAAAGAAGGACATAATTGGAGACGGCATGAACATACATATAGCTATAAGTATACAGGTGAAAAAATATATGTATACAGAAATATGCATACACCTATCTATCTATCTATCTATCTGTCTGTCTGTCTGTCTGTCTATCTATCTATCTATCTATCTATCTATCTATCTATCTATATGTGTAAGCATACGTACAAACATAAATGTAAATACAAAGGCAAGCGAAACCACAAATCACTATATGATTGCATCAATAGGTAAATAGGTCGGCCAATCAATCAATATATCCATCCATCCTTCCGTCCATCCGTCCATCCGTCCATCCGTCCATCCACCCATCCATCCAATCCAATGATCAATCAAGCATCCAACCAACCAGCCAACCAACCAACAAACCAAGCGACAAAGTAACCAAGCAACCAAGCAACCAAGCAGGCAAGCAGGCAAGCAGGCAAGCAAGCAATCAGTCAAGCAAGCAATCGGTCAAGCAATCAGTCAATCAGTCAGTCAATGAATCAGTCAATCAATCAATCAATCAAGCAAGCCATCAATAGCTAAGCAAACCCATATATTAGATAAATAGAAATAAGCAGACTGTATGTATGTATGTATGTATGTATGTATGTATGTATGTATGTATGTATGTATGTATGTATGTGTGTGTGTGTATATATGTCTGTATGTTTGTATGTCTGTATGTCTGTATGTTTGTATGTCTGTATGTCTGTATGTCTGTCTGTCTGTCTGTCTGTATGTATGTATGTAGGTAGGTATGTATGTAAGTATGTATTTATATACATATGTGCATACATAGGCATGGATAGGGCCACCAGACAGGTGTGTGAGGAGTCTGTGTGAAGCTCTCTGCCCAAAGCCTAGGTCCTTTGTGGCTCGGCCTCTTTGCCGCTGCAGCCGAGAGTGCGCATCCCCGCGGCAGCTGCTGAGTCTGACGAGGAAGACGACGGCGAGTTTGGAAGCGGATGAGAAAAAAGAGACCGAAGCCTGCAGTGCGCCGCCTTGCCAGATTGCTCTCCGCACCTTGAGTCCTGACTCCTGCGAGCAGGTCGAGGGCTTCGAAGCCGCCGTGGAGCCAGATAGCTGTCTCACCAGAAGGCAAAGGCCTGCAAGGAGTAGAACTCGCGTCGCTGGGGCGGGAAGGTGATGCTGCGGGGCCCGCAGACTTCACCGTGCAGGGCGCGGTCTGGATCTCGAGCCCAAAACGCCAGTTGGGACGACCGATGCAACAGCGATTGCTCGGCAAAAGAGGTTCGCTGTTGAATGCATCTTTTGGATGTCGACTCCACTTCTCTCTCGTTCATACTAGAATACACAGCTTGTGTATAGTCCAGCTAGGTATTTGTTGTTAACCCCTTTCGCTGCCATTGCAAGGCGGAGGTGGGAAACTTCGGCCGACTCGCCGGTACGGGCCTGAGTTCACAAACACGGGATGAACAGTTTGGCAAGTCGGAGTCCCTGGTAAACCCTGAACCCTAAACCCTAAACCCTGGGTTTGGGGTTTAGGGTTCTGGGGTTTGCAGTTCACTGTTTAGGGTTTTAGGTCTGAGGTTTGGCCCCATGCCCCAGCAATCCTCAATCGAAAAAAGCCATCGGTTCGCTAATTAGGGACTTTTAGGGTTTAAGTTTTCTACTTTAAGGTTTCCTGAGTTTGTACCTTCAGTGTATTCCCCCGACCATCGAACCGTACACCTGGACCCTCAGTACCCTTTTAGCTTCAGGTGGCATCCTAGCCGCAGCGATGCGCGAGACTACTTGCGTGGGTCTCAAAACCGTTGCTGGATGCTGCGTAGAAGTCGCATAGATCTGGCGTTTATCTCAGCCTGACAGGTTGAGGTTTAGGGGACAAGGCTTCGAATCATGATATGCGTTGATAGGGCGCCTGGGGCCTATGAGGATATGCGCGGCTTGGTTCGTGCAGCTTGGAGTCTTGACTTGTGCAAGTTTGGGGTACTATGAGTATGCCCTAATGGCCTTATGTACTCATACTACTGTGGCTTCACCCAAAGCCAAAGCCGTACTCAAGCGAGACTGAGCCCTTTTTTTGGAACGTTTCATGAATCATGAAATCCGAAAGAACGAGCCCCAAAAGAGCCTTAATACAATTATGAAGGCCGCTACATTCAACCCCTATAGTTTAGGGTTGAGACCTTTGACCCGGCCAGAATCGAAGCGAAACCTGTCTGGAATCTAAAACCTGAACCTTTGATGCTCAGATGTGGATGCCGTGGGGATGCTCTCTCTGAGCAATGCAGCCAAAGCCGTTGCGCTTGCCAATTCCATGGCGGAGAGCCAGGCAGAGAGGACTGCTGCGTCGTGTTCTAATAATGGTCCGGGGTTTAGATTTTAGGGTTTAGGAGCAAGGCGTATGGTAGTTTTGTTTGGGCTTCGAAAGCAAAGCACGGCTTGCTGAAATTTCATTTTTATCCGATACGCCTGATGCTACTTGTCAAGAGTGTTTCTGTTCCGCTCTTTTGTCTCTGCTAGATTCACACTTGCCTTGCACGTTCTTGCGCATGCTGTGAAGTCTTTGAGTGAGGGCTTTAATTCAGCGACAGCCACACACCATAACCTACAATCCTGTGAAAACCCAGTAAAAACCTTACAAAGCCATATCCACTAAGCCCCCTGTTCCTCTAAATCTGGTCTTGCTCCTTGGCTAAAACGGCGGATGCTCGCCAGGCAGCCTCCAAGCACCTGGCATTTCAGCCGCAGCTGCTCTCCGAGCAGGCTGGTCTCCGTCCCCTCCCCCCCAAAAAAAAGCAAAGAGAACCTCGCTCCTCTCAGTACGGTCCCAGTATGGAAGGAAGCCCTTCTTGTAACACTGTCTAGAAACCCTTCTAGAAAGCCTTCTTGAAATCCTTCTCGAAAGCGCCTTAGAAGCACCGAAGCCCGAGACCTCCCGGTGGCGAGGAACACGATGTCGAGAGGAGGCCCGGCGAGCGCTTAGGGGTTTAGGGTTTAGGGTTTAGGGTTTTAGGGTTTAGGGAGGGGCTTAGGGTTTAGGGTTCAAAAAAAGCGTATGTCTAAGTCTAGAAGGGCAACTCTAAGGATTCTAGAATACTGGGGGCCTGCTGGTCGAATGGGGTTTGGGGATATGCCATCGTATAAAGTAAGCGCGCGTGTGTGTGTGTGTGTGTGGTGCATGCAAACTTATTTTTAGTGCGCTTTGTTGACTGTGTGTGGACGTATTTATGTACGTGTATGCATATCCATGTCTGTATGAGATGTATGTATGTATCTATGTATGTATGTATGTATGTATGTATGTATGTATGTATGTATGTATGTATGTAAACATGTATGTCTGTGTAGGTAGGTAGGTAGGTAAGTATGGATGTATGTCGCGAATGTGTACCACACGAGAGGCCCTCTGCAACGTAGCGTATGTTCAGATTCTGCATGATGTAGCCTGTTGATAAAGAGAGCTACTCTTCACTGCAACCCTCAAAGCAGAACAACAGCCGGATGCGTGGTTCCTACACAGGCTCTGCCGCCTCGTGGTGACAGCCAGGACCCCTCAGAAAGACGAGGACAAGCGGCCTTGTCCATCATGGGCTCTGTAAACCCGGAGCTCAGGGTACTAAAGGACCCTTTTTGGAACCCTGTATGTAGGACCCTCATCGTCACCTTCATAGTAACCTTAAGCCCTGTATAGTTGGGCCCCTATAGTAACCCTAAACCCTAAAACCCTAAAGCCTTAAACCCTATACAAGACACCGTCACAGTACCCAGAAGCCCCATCGGCGCTGAGAGGAGCCCAGGGATTTCTCCAAAGGCGGCATCTTTGTGCCGCAAAGCTCTCCAGACGAGGCCCTGCCGGCTTTGGTCACTTGTTTCCGCGGCATCTTATATAGTATACTATAAATATTTTCCCATAAGATACAATAATATTTACCATCATATTTACCAGCAGAAACTATAAACTACCATGATCTTCTAGTATATAACATACTATAATATTTCCCTGCACCTCCCAGGCCTCGGCGACCAGGACAACACCCACAACTCTCGCGAGGATCGCTGGGTGCATCAGTTTTCCAGAGACCAGAAGAAAGCCCTGATAGTATCCTTTTTGTACTCTGATAGGGCCCTTCCTGAAAAGCAGCCGAATATCAATATGCACAGTACGAATGTCATGAATAGTGTTGTTGTTGGTAGTATTATTAGCATAACCATTATTATTGTTATTATCATTATTATTGTTATCGTTAAATTGTTCTTCATATTCTTCTTATGCCAGACCCTAAACCCGACATTCTGTTTTCCACGGCGAGCGTTGAGCCACAGGACGGCGCTGGGGCAGTGGATGCGCTACACCGTTCCGGACCTCCGACAGGCGCTGTGTTGCAACGATCTACCCAAAAACCTCCAAACCCTAGGAGTCCTGAACTCAGGAAGGCCTAAACCCTAAACCCTAAGCCGACAAACCAGAGAGGCCCTGAACCCCTAAGCCCGGCAGGCAGCGCGCTCAGCGGCCCGAGCCGCCAGCTCCGGTGAGAAGGCTAGTCGATTGATGCCTACTCTGTTCGTTGTGACTCAGGCTGAGGTTCAAATCTTCGTTATGATCGCGCACGAGGCACTATATCCGCTGAATGCTGCTCCGCAGGCATCTCTGCTACGTGCCCGTGCGTTGCTGAAGGGTAGCTTGACATCCCAGCAGATAGCGCGTTGACTCGATGCCGAGCGGTGGCCGCCGCTGGCGCCGTAATGATTCGGAATGGCAGCGGAGGCAAGCAAACGGTGGCAGGCCTTCGCGAAGCGCATTCCAAAACACAGGTAGCCGCTGCTAGTTGTTTTTGCAATCATGCTACTCTGCTTTATGGTGCACTTCGCTGGCCCTCAGATGTCAGCTTTTTTACGCATTCGGCCCCACAGCTTGATCCCAATCCGCAGTGCCATGCGTGGAAGTACTTCGTCTTCAGGTCTCGACCAGTGGTGCCCATGCGCCCGCACGGTGGATTCGGGTGGGGCGGCTACTCAACTCCCCCGTCGTGCTCGCCCCCCAGCGATGATGTTCAGCTGATTATGCACAACATCTTGCGCCTACAACGCATGGGGCCTGAGCAGGCCGATCGAAGTTTGAAGGGGACAGCTGCCTTGCAGCTTTACCAGGATTGAAGAGCAGCGAGCTCTTTGTACATATGCGGAAAACCATGACAAACCCTCAGTGGTATCATCTTGTTGCGCAGTAATTCATTGGCACCTTTGGCTCGACCACCGGGCCCTGACGCTGCTGTTGAAAGGAACTGTGTGCACGTCTGCTGAACTGAAAGTGGCACTGACGATGATCAAAGCAGAACACACGGCACACGTCTCGTTCTATGCGGGCTGCGACAGAAGTCGGTAATGCTGTCTCTACCCTCGCGTGCTTAGCGGCTTACAGCCCAAATTTCTGCAGCACAGCATAAGGTCACTTCTGACTCATGCGATAGCTGCTCATTTCGCATACCGAACGAAACAAAAAACAACAAACCCACCATCCTACCCCAACGCCTCCAAATCGTAAAAGTGCCTCCTCAGTGTAGTTACCAAGTGAGGTCCGGCTAAAGACCATGATACGGGAGGGACCCGCATCAAGGACTCAAACCCAAGAGATCGGGCATACTTCGCCACAACTTGTTTGAAACGAAACGAGACTCTCGACCATATCCATTCTCGTCTGTAGGGGAGAACCAAACGTGGAAGAGAGAAAATCCCAGGAGAAGGGGAGCTGGGTTCGCATCGACGCTCTTCGAGGATGGAGTTCAAGTCAATGCCGGAAGATGCCCGCAAAGATGAACAAAACTTCACTACTGCGGCATGCGATTCATGCGGATTGCTGAAACACCTGGAAAATCATTTGACCATTCGACGACGGGCCAAGCCAAATGAACAGCAGGAGCATGATATGAGCTACAGAGAAGTGGACGCCATTGGCTCGAGGGTATCACATATAGCGAATGATCCAGACGACCAGTCAAGTGCCATTTTCTGCCATTGAACAAAGTCACGTCCAACATGTCAACAGTCTCATACGAAATACTTTCAAAGTCGATGCCGTAGACTCCCGCTTTGGCTTTAAGCTGTTCCATGAACTGAAGATGTAACTCACGACGAGAATCAACGATGTACGGTGTCCTTGAACCTAGAATAAAAGAACACGTTGTATTTCGCACAGATTTCTGGATCCATAACGAGCTGCTCCTCAGCGAGGAAGTAAAACGCCGCGTCGGAGATTTCACCTGCACATGAAAGTCGCATACCGCCTGTTCACAGCCATGGATAACAACAACTTGTTCAGAAAGGATAAAGAAAATGAGAACTCGGGCACAAGTCTGGAGATGTTGTGGAAAACATCGGGCCGCCAAATCTGCGATCTGAGCATGACTTCCTGACATAAAGTAGTCGCGGATATCAAAACGCACCGGCTTTGCAGAATCGGAAACAACCACTGACTGAAAAATTGTAAGAAGGTCATCTGTATCACGAAGCAAATGAGGCTTGTCACTGAAGAACTGTCTGATGTGTTCGGAAATCCATCGCATGGCAGGGCGGATACACAACCCAGGTGAAGAGTGGATGATGCGAAGCCTCATGTTTCCAGGCTGTTTGTGATCTTCACGTTCGCGATGACTCTGGAGATAAACCTTCGTTTGCCCATCCTAACATCACGCAACAAAGCATGACCAAGTGTGGGATCACGTGCATCTTCAGCAATTCACTGAACTAGAGACGCGTAATTCTGAACATAGTCTTGCGCGGAAAGGTCGTGCAACATGACATCTGGATCATAGGTGTTCTGGTCCATGGCGGCTACAAAGGACGTCTTATGAACAATCGCATAGCCACCATCTTTGTCGGTAGGAACAGCTCCATATTCACCAGATTTCAGCATGGAAAGCCCCAGCCGCGCAACTGAATTCATGTTTGAAACACGGTTCCTATTGAACGAAAACTTGCTACGCATACTAAGACACGCACCATATGCTGACATGCAAGCATCAGATAAATGCTTCCCATACTTCCGGAAGAAGAACGCCAGTAAACGGTGCTGAACTCGTATTACCACGCAGTCGCCACCATCGGTCACATTTGGCCTCTGGTGGTCCAGGCATACCCCCATCCTGCTACGGCTTAAGGTGGAAGAAGGCTCGCCATCGTAGCGAATTTGGCCAAACATCCGAGGCTTTACCAACCTCACCCATGCCTGGCAACCTTCGATTCATAAACACATGCTTCTGATGATGGCGAAGGATAAACTCAATCGGCCAGGGAATGTCAATCGCGGCAGGAACGAAGGCAGTCTTAGCAACGGGATCGTGCATGAATACACCATGTAGCCCCTTGCCACACTGCAAAAGACACTGTAGATCCCCATCTTCTTGAAAAGCATTACGGCCTCATAACTGCAGTCTTGCTGTAGCCTTTGCCCTTGCGTTTGTTTTTTCCATGCTTTCCTCCTTTGGCTTTTCCTCCATTGCCTACCGGTGCTCGCGGATTTTTGCCCTTGCCTTTGCCCTTCATGTTGGGTGACTTGCCCTTCCATTTGCCTGTGCCCTTGCCCTTGTCCTTGGGGGTATTTTTGGCGAAACGGAACTTTGCATATCCACCGGAGTTCGGGATGACATTGGCAACCTTAGGGTCCTAACAACGTTGCCACCATGATGCTTCCCCCGGCCTTTTCCTGATGTCGAAGTTGTCTCATGAAGACACGATCTCAAAGCATCCACATCTTGCTCCCCACTCGTAACCACAAAAGCCTTACTCGCATCAAATGTCCGAGAAATACCCTTGGGATGAGCTTTACGATGATCTCGACGGTTATCTGGCTTGCCTTTGCCTTTGCTTGT